CTGCTTTGTTGTACTATTTCATATTCTCAATAAACACTTCAGATTGCATTTTTTTCAAAGTGCAGCAGTTCGGAACCAATGTTTTGGTTCTGCTCTCTGACAGGAATCTAGAGCGAAGATCAACATCTGTTTTACAGCTGTAAACATTTACAGTCAGAACAGATTCCAAGAATCTGTTCTGATGATGTGAGTTTTCTTCCCACATTTTTTCTGTTGTGTTTACTGTGGCAGGTGTACGCAGTGTAAAACAACAGGAATATGATAAGTGGACTTCCTTCCAGTTCCACATGGAGTCGGTGCTAACACGGTGATTGTTGAGCATGTGGTGAATGTGAGTGGCTGGTCTTAAATTAGACATTTTCAGTTAGCCTTTCTGCTGACCTCGGTACTCTTACTTCCAGAGAAACAAACACACACGCACGTACTGCCACACACATTCACTTCTTTGAAAGTCCTCCCACACTCGTGTTTTCACACTTAATGACAAAAACATAAGCCACATTTCCTCTGAAGCCGCAGCACAGGCTGGAACCTGATGATCGGTATAAAAATGAGTGTTGGAGACAGGAAGTGAAAAAAAAGCCCCAAAAACAAACAACGTCAGTGGTCAGAGTTTTCCTCTGTTGTTACACTGATCTGATGATGCTGTCCGCCTCTGATACAGGTCAGAGGATAGTTGAGGGGAATTACAGAATTTATAGGTCAGTGAAACTGGTCATGACTCATCCAACATACAAACTTTGTACTTTAATTCAGTTGATCCATCCGTTAGATGAAAAAAGAACAGTTCTGTGATTACAAAGCTCCTTGAATAACCAGCAGAAACCTCCGAAAGACAAAAATTGTTCAGAGGTTTTCATTTTTTCCTTTAGCTGTAGTTTAATTGAAATTATTTTGGCTATGTTTATTTTTAGTTATTTGTATAGTTCTTAGTTCATATGTTGTTTTCTAGGTAACTGTATTTTTGTTCCTAACTTTGAGTTATTTTTGGGGGTGACTTTTGATCAAATTGTAGTTCATTTTCAATAGATTTCTGGCTATAATTCAGATTGTCTAATCATACTTTTTACGCCACTTCTTTCTCGACAAATGTAACCATTTTCAATGCTAACTTAAAGTTAGTTTTGCTTTTTTACGTTGCTTATGAAGTGCCTTTAAAATTAAAATATTTTCAGAAACTTTTACATGGTTCTGTGCCAACCTTTAGTTTATTCTGGGTCAACTTCGGTCATATGTGGTTTTCCGTTTGGGTTAATGTTTACATTTCCTGTCATAATACAATAAGCATTTTGTATGTATTTAATGTGTTGAAATCTATTGGCACTCCAGAAGGAGATGTACTTTCACTCAATCAATCTGTTCCTTTTGTTGGTGGCATGGTGAATTAGTTACTGTAGAGTCCTACAGTTCTGTGCTACACCTGACAGTCAACACACTCCTTTTGTCAGAGTAATGATGGTGCAGTAACACCATCATTACTCTGTCGCCTGATCCCAGCTGGAGGAGTTAAACAGTGAATGTGCAGGAGTCAGCAGGAGTCCACTGAGACTGTGGTGGACAGCTTGAGACTTTAAGCCTCTTCATACTGTTATATATGCACACAAAAATCAGAGCACTGCTGCTGTGGCTGCGGCTGCTGCTCCTGCTGCTGCTGCATCATCACTGATCTTCAAACACAGACACTGTAGGTCAGAAGCTTGTTGACTTACACACATCTCTTCATCCCAGGCCTACGTGTTTGCTGTTCTACCAAAATAACAAGTGACAACGTCGGGCTGTGTGATGTCCCTGAGGTGAGACTGTGTGTTGTACGGATCAATGCTTTGTTGTGTTGATCATCTTTCCTTTGAGCTACTCTAACATTTAATGACTTTCCTTCTGTCAAATGTCACAGGATCAGAGGGAGGGAGGACAGGAGTGAAGACTGGAACAGCCTTCACAGCCCTGTGAAAGTGTGCGGTGCAGAACAACAGTAATGCATTCAGACTCACATCATGAATCACACTGATTGTTTTTGAAATAAGCTGCATGTTTAGGCGATATAATCAAGGGATGGTGTGTGGACCGTAAAGAAAACCTTACCCTTCACTTTGGCCCACACTTCCTATTTTCAGCAGAAACTTTCCTGTTTGAATGTTTTGCATGGCCCTTTCCTTCCTTATTTGCAAGGTCATATAAAAGCAGGTGTTTGGGGTAAAACCCCCGTAAAAAATCTGAAATTGCCCTGGAAATTCACATGAGGGGGCTTTTATGTCCGCAAGTTGGCAAAAAATGAGAAAACATTGAAGCGAAAAATGAAACACTACACCAAGTGGAAGGCAGCGTAGTGATATAGTCTGACTGACAGTGAACAGTTGAAGGGCCGGCTCTGACTTTATGGAGGATAAATGCCTCCTCCTCTCCCCCATCCTGTGGGCATTCTCCGGTTTTCACCCACAGTCCAGAAAATACATAAATGCCTCCTCCTCTCCCCCATCCTTTTCACCCACAGTCCAGAAAATATAGAGGAAGCTGACTATTGACTGTAAACTGACCGGGAGTGTGAACGTTAGTGTGAATGAATGCACTGCGGTACAAGATACAAAATGAATAGAAAGTAAAACAGCTGACTTTTCACATCCATCAAAAAACATTAAACGGGGAGAGAGGGAAGTTGGGTGAAAACTGAGTTCAATAAGAGGTTTTGAAAATACCTGCTGTACTAACAATACACAAACCAGAAGGTGAGTAATGAGTAAAATAAAATAAAATTGTACATTTAAATGATTAAACAAACAAAAGGAACAACCAGTTTGATGAGCAAAGCGTTCAGGTCGGAGTGTACCTTTTTCACTAACACATCAGGACATTTAAAAACAAAAATTAAATAATAATGAAACCTGATCTGGAGATCAGGGTTTTAGTTCAGTTACTTAATTCGTTTTTTTTACCAGAAATACAGAAAACAACAAGCACAAATAACTCATTCCTTATTGTCTCCCACGGACCAACAGTTTGTGATGGTTGAACATCTGCCTGGTGATAAGGCTGTTAAAATAATATTATTGTGTTTTTTTTTTATTGTTAATATTTTTGATACGTTCTACCCTCCAGCAAATGTTAGCGACTAATCATAGCAGGTTCTTTTATAGACATGAAGACATGAAGCACAATATACAGACAGTTTAATGTCATTATGAAATAGGCTGACAGTGATTTTTATGGACAGTAGAAAAACAAACAAACCCATTAAACACCTACACAGATGACAAGGAAACAACATTTCAGAATAATGAGCAAAATAAAAGATATATATATATATATATATATACATATATATATATATATGTATATATATATATATATATATA